GCTTGGATTTCACTTCTTCTGTCAAATTCAGCCATCTTCTCTGCTTGAACTTCAATGGACTCTTTAACTTACACTCGCCCAGATACGGATATATATAGAAGATAAAGCTTTTCTTGAGCGAGCGAAGCACGACCACACATAATTAGACCAACATTGAACTCGTGCTATAGAAGAAAAAGCTTTTCTTGAGCGAGCGAAGCACGACCACACATAATTAGACCAACATTGAACTCGTGCTACGCGAGGTTTTATTTAATATTTGATCTTCAACGGAGTCGATCCTGAGATTTTGAGCGTCTTATATTTTAAAATGATACTCTCTTCAAGTAATTAAAACATATATTTCAATAATATTATTTTATTGCAAAAATATGATATTTAATTTAATTTTTTTATTTTGCCATATATAAACAAGAAAAACATAAATAAAGTTCAAAAGTATCTCTCAAACTTCATCAAAATTCATATATCATCAACAAAGAACCATCCAATCCACTAGCCACTTTGTGTGATTCCATATAAAGCAAACTTTGAAAAAAAATTATATATCAAATGTAAAGCTTGAAACGCAACAAATCATGTAAAAATATTTCCGCTCGCATTTTTAGAAGCAAACTCACTAATTAAACTTTCGTAATCAATATTTTCGAGAAAGTCTTGCTTAATATTTTTTAAGTGTTCAACTTTTCTGGAGGAAAATTATGGCGTGCTTCCTCAATTTTCAGTCCCCCATGTTTAGGCAAAGTGAATTTAGATTTTAACAAATTCTTGCAAAGCAAATTCAAATCAGTAAATCATGGACGAGATTGATGAAAAGATAATAAAGAAAAGATAATAGGTAATTCAGATTTTCACCGAGTGTTTAATGAAAAATATGAATCGTCAATCGTCGCTTAAGGAAAAGAAAGAATTTTTTGGAACCAGATCAAGGATGATCGGAGAAAAAGACGATTTCTCCAAAAAGATTGTTGGTTTCTCTCTTTTTTGCCTCAATTATCTTTGAGGCAATTGGAAAAGACGATTGGTTTCTTTAATTGTTTTCTCCAAAAAGACGATTGGAAAAGGCAGTTGCTCAATTTTTCTTTTTTCTCCCAGTTCTTTGGGCGACTTGATCTCTTTTCGACTTTTTCCTCATATTATTTAAGGTAGGAATACTATTTAAGAATATTATATTCAAGGAAATTATAATTAGTTAGTCACATTATTCTTGATTTTAATATCTTATGCATAATAATAAAAATTTTATATTTCAAATATTTAATTATAAATAAATATACAACTATAATAAAACTTTTTATTTTTGTGCCCTTACAATTTTGAGATCCTGTGCGGTCGATCAACTAGCGCACCCTCAAAGCCACCTTTGATCTTCAATATTATAAAATCGTTGAATCTATTACATTTTTCTGGAATTTTCTCTCTTCAAATCTAGGAGAGAAGATAGGATGTTGGTGGATATTAGTAAATAGAGTATGATAATTTTCGTTTTGTCTTGTCACAACATATATAGTTGAGAACATAGAGTCGTGATCAAAATGCCAAATTTGTTTGTATAAATTGGAAAATGACATTGAAGGTACAAAAATGAAAAAAATTACTTGATGTTACCTCAAAGTATATTGGGACAATGTAGGCCGAGCTTGAAATAGTTCCAATTTTATGGTAAAAAAATAAGTAAATGTAAAAAAACTATACAATTTTGAGCATAGTTGTGGTTACATTGAAGGATGTTAAATGGATCGAGTCGCTCAGCTTTGAATTTTTTTGATCAAATGAATTGAGTAACAGAATAATAATAGATGTGATCCGTATATTTGAATGAATAATGGTAGTTTTTCAAAGGTATGGGTCACAAATTGTCCAATGAAGGACGAATTTGCAAATGAAATGAAAGGCTAGAAATGTTTGCTGCTATTTATCCAAAAAGTAGTATTTAGTCATGGTTTTCTTCGAATGAATTCATCATTGATCTTGTTTCCTTTGAATGCACTCCCCATTTGAATTTTGATGTACCAAGAAAGAGAAGCTGTCCATTGTTAGGGCTGCACATTTTTTCTCAACTAGTCAAAAAGTTTGAGAAATGTTCTTAATTAATTTTATTGGCACCATTCATCTCCAGCCTTTCAATTAATTAGCATGGTTCATCATTTAAGTCCACTTTGACTTTTAAGTTGCATAAAAGGTCAAGTTTACCCTCCATATAGAAAATGAAAGAGAGCAGAAAAAAGGGTAAAGGAATAATTGCAATGGGAGTTCCCAGACCTTTTTAAAAGGTCCAAATTAAATAACTCACAAAAAATAAAATTAAAATTAAAAACAGTTAACCAAAAAAGAAGAAAAATACTTGTCTTCCCCAACAAACACTCACCACCCACAGCGAACCACCACTCAATAAGCAACAGTCACATCACTACCACCCGTGGATACCGTATAAAGGTGCACATACAGGAAGTCTTTAACATATTTCAAATAGTTTTTGACAGCTGCCAATCACAAGAAGACAAGTGTCCCTTTGTTAACATATTTCCAATACGTATAGTTAATTTCGTCTATATCACACCACTTTTTTCCCTGCTCCAAATTGTGTGTTGTTGGAACCACCACCATCACCTTTAATAGTTGAAATCTTCATAAAATGTTAGTATAATTAAGAACGAACCGCTTGTAACTATTTTGTTCTAGGCCCAATTTTTGGCTAGATTTATTATCAATAATCAAAGTTGAACGGGCATTGCACGTTATTTTAAAATACTTTATAAATGATGTAAAAGTAATATCTGATATCAATTCGTTAGAGCATTTGATGAGTCTACGAATTAAAAAAAAATTAGTATTGAAATTTAAGAGAATAAAATTGTATTCAAATTGTACTCTCAAAATTAAATTTTATGATTCAAAATTTTTTTTTATAATGATGAAATACTACAAATGAACAATCTTTTTATATTACATTTGATACATAAAATTTAATTGCTAATACATAAATTTAAATACCCATTGAAATTTTAGATACATGAATATATGAATAAATTCGTCTATAATAATTATAGATTCATGTAATTCTAGATGTATCAAGTGAAAATTTATTGAATCTAGATTAATGTTAATGTTCATTATTTGAGAATTAATAACACAAATTTCATAAATGACAAAATTTTTATAATATTTATTACATATAGAAAAACGAAAAGTAAGGCATCATTGAAATAATTGAATTTTAAGAGGGTTAAAATCGTCCAAAAAATAATTCTCCCCTAATATGATATTTTAATATATTATATATTATAGATTGGGTCACAATTAACTCTTGGACGTATCAGGTTTTGGATACTAATGCTAATGGTATGAGAAATTGTATAAACCTATATATTCATAGTTCGATTTTAAGGTTTTTTAGACTAGTCATTACTCCTTGCTAGTAGAAGAGAAATTGAAAAAAACTAACCTAATACTCACTAAATTCAACTGGCAACCATGATCTGCTTGTGATGGTGCAGTAATTTGTTCTTGCAAATTGCAATGTGAATTTTTATTAGAGACTGAATATCTGTGTTCTTACTGAGATATTGATAAAAAAAAAAAAAAGATTTAAAATCGTCTCAACTAATAGGAATCGTTTAAGGTTTCTCTTATTTTATCTCTCAAAACGTTGTGTAGCAAGTTTAATAAGTCCATTTCGTATGCAAGAGCATGAAGCACTCATATGGAACCTCTCCTCACCTCAAGTTAAATAAAGATGAGGAAAATCACAGAAATATGAGAAATCTTGTTGGTAGTTTTTGCATTCATTTCTCATTTTATGAACAAGCCATATGAGGGACATTTTACTGCACTAAATAGGATTTTCCTTATGTAAAAAGCATTCAAAATTTTGGGTTATTTTAGAAACACCACGTTCAAATTTTTCTACTTTTGGGAGTGATTTTTCGGATGAAGATTGCGATAGTGATGTGAATGATAAACGCTTCGCACCAAACTATTGTTTTAGTACAGGTTCAGTGGCAAACTTATGGAGTAGTAAAAAGCAAATTATCATTGCTCTTTCAAGTTGTGAAACTGAGTACATAGCTATTCGAGAATGTCTTTGAATTGAAAAATCTCATTCAATAAATGGTTTTTATAATTACTAATTAGTTTGACATTCCTGATTGCATTTGTCGTGACAATAAAAGTGCAATATCAAAACCAATATTCATGAATATGAAGATTGGTCACCATTCTCACAATTGACCATAAGTTGACATGATCCATTTTGATACCTTGATCCCGAAGATTCGAAGAGGTGAGTACATGGATTAGGATTTCAAAAGAGAGTCATGTGAGGCTTGTTCATGCCTTCAGAAATCGGGTAGCAATCCAGTAATGAATACCAAATATATCATAATGTTTGGTTAAGTTTAAAAAAATTATTTATAAGCAATTAGTTTTAAAATGACTAATATTTGTATTGATCAAATTTGAAAATAAGTAATTTTCATAAGAGTAGTGCTATTAATAGTCAGCGACTGCAGTAATCGTCCTACATGTTTGTTTGTTGTTGAGAGATTAGCTTGTTATTTGAGACAAAATTCCGTCATTTTTCTGGGTTTGGAGAAGTGTGGATTTTCAAGAACGAGAATTTTACAATATGTTGAAAATCTCTTATGATAGTCATTCACGGTTGAAATGTATCTTAATGCCTAAAAGTTGGATAGGACGGCCCTTACATTAGGATTATATTGCTTAGTAGTTATCCTATACATCAATTTGTCATTGAAGCATTAGCTTGTTATTTGAGGCAACAAAAATAAAGAAGATTGATGCATCAAATAACAAGATGCCACATAAGGCAACTACTACCGTAAATAACATTATTCTTTCAATAAGTGCTAACTTTCCTAAAAGTAGAAGCAAATTGTCCAAGACAAAAAGTTACTTAAAAGTAACTTATACATTCCTAATCTTTGCCAAACAAGTAAGTGAACTAGTCGAAAACAAAGGTCCAGATTCCAGCATCAGATCAAAACAATTAGCCATGCATATACAAGCAGGCACAACTCGCCACATACCCCAACACCAAAACTATTAGGTGTAAGCAAAATCGTGCAAATTCATGCAGAAGAGAAGCCAAATGGCTCACTACTCTTTACATTCACGTTTACGTGTCAATCCCAAACCTCAAACTCTCTGCTATAAATTCCAACCATTTCCATTCACCGCTTCACATCGATCAATATCTAGTATACACAGTATAGTACACAAAAATCGCCATGGCTAAACTTTCTTTGCATTTTCTCAGTTTTACCTTGCTCTTTCTCTTTGGAGGCTGCCTTGCCCAGTTGGGCAGCCAGCAACAATTCCTATGGCAAAAGTTGCAGCAGCAGCAGCAACACAGGCTGAGGGCCAAAACTGATTGCAGAATTGAGAGACTCACCGCTCAAGAACCAACTCGGAGGTATGACTCGGAGGCTGGATATGCTGAGTACTGGGACCCGAACAACAAGCAGTTCGAGTGCGCCGGTGTTGCAGCTGTTAGGACTTCCATCCAAAAAAATGGCCTATTCTTGCCTCATTACAATAACGTTGCTCAACTCATCTATGTAGTACAAGGTAAATCATTTTTCCTTCTCTACTTTCCTTCGGTTTCTGTTAACTGCTAAGTGCATTTTCATTTGGAGACTAATGAAAATGATATTTTTTGGGTTTTGATCAATTCAGGAAAGGGTCTTCTAGGAGCTGTAATTCCGGGTTGTGCTGAGACATTTGAAACAGAAATGCGGCAGCAGGAGCAAGGATCGGAGAGTCAGAAGCAATTTTTCGACCGACATCAGAAGGTTCGACAATTCAGACAGGGAGATGTTCTCGCCTTGCCAGCGGGTATAACTCTTTGGCTTTATAACAATGGGCAAGAGCCACTTGTTACTGTGTCACTTCTTGATACTGCTAACGAAATGAATCAGCTTGATCTCCAATTCAGGGTAAGAATATCTGAAATTTCTTGGTTGGTAAGCAATATTATTCGGGATTTTATCGAAATTTTCACTATTTTTTTTTTTCAGAATTTCTTCCTTGCTGGAAATAGGAATCCGCAACAAAGCCAAGGCCAGCAACAAGAAGAGAGTCAAAGCGAGGGTGAGAGCCCAATTAACAACATCTTCTATGGCTTTCCTGATAAAGTTCTGGCGGATGTTTACAATGTAGAGCCAGAAACAATTAGGAAATTAAAAGGTGAACAGGATCAGAGGGGTCGAATTGTGAAAGCTGAGAGGTTCAATGTTGTCCTCCCACGGGAAGGACAAGAAGAGGAGCAGGAGGGCCAGCAAGGGCAAGGAGGACGAAATGGCTTGGAGGAAACTCTGTGCACTCTGAGGTTGAGGGAGAACTTAGGTCGCCCATCACGTGCTGATGTTTACAACCCCCGTGCTGGCCGTCTCGCCACCCTCAATAGTCAAACACTTCCCATCCTCAACTATCTGCAGCTTAGTGCAGTAAAAGGAGTCCTGTACAGGGTAAACTGAATTAATTTCTTTTCCACTATCAAAGCATTATTTCATTGAATAATTTCATCAAACACTTTCTGTACATACAGAATGCGATAATGGCTCCTCACTGGAACGTGAACGCCCACTCTGTAATCTACATAACCAGAGGAAGCAGCCGCTTACAGGTGGTGGGTCACTCCGGGAATCTGGTTTTCGACGGCGAGGTCAAAGAAAATCAGCTGATTATAATCCCACAGAGCTTCGTCGTGATAAAGAAGGCCGGGGATCAAGGCTGCGAGTGGATAGCTTTTAAAACTAATGACAATGCAATGATCAGCCCACTTGCAGGAAGGCTGTCGGCGTTCCGGTCGATGCCAGTAGATGTGTTGGCGAATGCATATCGAGTTTCGAAGCAAGAAGCCCAGGTTTTAAAGTTCAGTCGGGATGAATCCACACTTTTCAGTTCCAGTTCTTCCAGCATGTCACTTGAGAAGCCCAAGGCAATGGAATATGCTAGGGATGTGATTGAAACTGTAATCTAAAAATAGAATGGCTGCTGCTGTTAATGTTTTAATTCTCTGTTACGAAAATAATTAAGGGCTGTGGCCTTTACTTGAACTCTGTAATCCGGCAGCTGTAATGTGGTTTTCCTTCTGAGTCAATAAAGTTGTTGCAATGCGTTATACTTAACAACACTAGTATCCTTCAAAGTTTTGAATAATTACAATAATATTTTTTTGTTACATTAGTAGTCATTAAAGTTTTCACCCCATACGTTAATGATCACCCATTGAAAATGTTACGAGAGTAATGTTATTTAATATAATATCAACTAATGTTAAAATATCAGTTTAGATGTCACTAATATATTATTAAATAAGATGTAAATTACTTAATTGTATCTTTGAATCTATCGTTTGAAGCCACTTAAAAAATTGTTGTTAGCAAACTGTTGTTAGCAACGTTGGTGTTAGATAGCATTATTCTTTCATAAAAAACTATTGTATGTTTACTATGTCAAGTCAGCAAAAATCTTAACTTGCCGAAGGGAGTTGTATGTCTACCATGTTTAGATGAGAAAAACATATAATGAAACTTTAATTTTGGTTAGATTTTGAGTTTAAATACTATAATAAGCCTATTATTTTTAAACAATGATATTCATTCATTTTCTTATACACATATGCATTCATTCACTTACCCGATAAAAGAGTTTTCTATCTTCGATAAGTTGGAGGGAGCTGAGGATGGGAAGATTCGAAGAATCTACACTACAAATTATTCTACTTTTGATGAAATATTTTTGGTTGAAATCTTTCCCAGTGATCTCTTTTCGACAAAGCAACCCAAAAATGAATTTTTATATTAAAAAAAATTTGTTGTTAAAGTGAAATTTCTTGTAGTGTCGCAATTGACCATAAAAATGCTTTGACTATACCGAAGACACAATAATTATTTATTTAAGAATCTACACTACAAATTATTCTACTTTTGATGAAATGTTTTTTCTTGAAATCTTTCCAAATGATCTCTTTTCGACGAAGCAACCCAAAAATGTGTTTTTATGTTAAAAAAAAAAAAAATCGTTGTTAAAGTGAAATTTCTTGTAGTGTTAGCAGTTGAACATAAAAATGCTTTGGCTATACTGAAGACACAATAGTTATTTATTTATAAAGAATAGCGGGCCCACTTTGGTTTCAATTTAAGGTATATACTCCATACACTATATTTATTATTATTTTAAAGTTTTTTATTTTGTATTATTTGTAAGGTAGTTAAGGAGGCTAAATGAGCGCCAAATTCGCATCCATTTCTGTTCAACTGCAAACATTCTCCTAAACTTGGGTCACTTCCTCACACTTCTCTCTCTCTCTCTCCCCAAACCTAATTCACATTCCAATTTGGTGGAATTTTTTGTAAATCTTCGGTGAATCAGTAACAATTTTGTTGGATCATTGCCAAAATTATCTGTAAATCGAAGTTTGGGGCGAGTTTTTCCAAGATCAGGTGAGAAATTGGCTGGAGTTTTGTTTGAAGATTTTAATTTGGGGGCGAAGTTGATGATAGGCCAAAGGATTCTGGATTGGACTCATCTATGGAGACTATGCGGATGATTGGGACAAGTAGGTTTATCCGTTGGCTACCCGCGATTTGTTTCAGATGGAATGGCAGATCCTGCTAGTTATGGAACCCCTGTCCGAGATATTGACCAGGTACTTTCTTAATTTATCTTCTTTGCCATTGATTATAATCTTCAGAAACGTTGAAAGAATTGATGTAATACATCACGGAGTTAGGAGCTGTCTAACTTTAGGAACTTACTCAATTATTTCTTTAGATAGTGTACTGGAAATAAATGGGTGCTCTACAGGTCTTGATTATTACAATTTCGTGTGCAATTAATGAAATGTAAGCTACATAGCTATATAATAGATGCAGCATTTTTAGTTGGAAGAGCCGGGAAATTCTAGTTACGGTTTTGTCAAACTTTTATTTGGCTAATAAATCTGTTTTAAGCTGAGGTAGATTTGTCTCCTGCAAAAAGAATTATTTCTGTTCAATAAATGCTGAGTATCATAGCATTTACGATGTCCTGAATACCTCTCAGTGCTTGTGAAAATTCATCTATGAATCTATGATTCCTGAAACATTTTCGTCAAAATAAAAAGCAATTGCACTGAAATATTTTGGTTTGATTTCAAGTATTCTACACGGTGATCTTGTGCATGTCAATAATAGTACACAAGAAATTAAAATTTGTTAATATACCCTTACCGAATCACAACTAGTTGCATGCGGCATTTTAATGATTAGTTTCTATATTCAAACCCATCCACTTGAAATTTCTCAATACAATGTGCTTTTACTATAGCACCCCATTTCTCTCGAGCATGACCTCATGAACCTCCAAATGACTAGCTTTTGATTATTTTTGTTTTTTGACTGTGTAAATTTTGAAACTGGCTGTGTCCACAAGCTTCCATCTACTTTTTTATAGTTGCATTTAACGAACAGTCAAATAGGACATCATGGAGAGCTGTTCATTTTTTCTTGGTTGGATATTCTGCATCTCCTTGTATTAGAGCTAGTTATTCTCTTAGTATTGGAAGTACGAGGCAAGATACATGGTGCATGCTAAGAACATTAACAGTCATGATTGGAGTAATGGAACAAATAGATATGTTCAGATATTTTCTATATATATTCATTTATTATCTGTCTTGTTTGCTTTTGCTATTACTGTGTTGAAAAGGTCACGATACTAGAAACACTATTTGTTTTGCTCACATGGGTGATGACTTGATGCGTCATTACTTATTTATAATGACACTTATGTATGTTATCAATTTCATTCTTTCTCTGCTAATGATTAAGAATTTCTTCCTTCAAGGGCATTTTATGTACTGGATACTTCAATCTTTTTACTACATATATACACCAATTTTTACTATTAAACATTGATCAAGAAGATTCGTATCTTTATCTGATCTTTGGCATTTTATTTGTTTTCTAAAGGCACTCATTGCTTTAAAGAAAGGTACACAGCTAATCAAGTATAGTAGAAAGGGGAAGCCTAAGTTTTGCCCATTCAGACTTTCTCCGGTAAGTGACATTTTCTTTCTGTCTAGAGATAGTTATTATTCTTCTGCAAGTGAGTTCGTTCATAAATTACTTTGGAGGTGTACAACAAATGGTAGACTAGAGAAAATCTAACTTCTAGAATGACCTTCTTCCATGGTCTGTTGATGTTTGAGAAAATTTTAATTTTTAAAGTTTCAAATACTGTCACCTCCCTTACCAGTATAAGAGTAGGTGTCAGTTTTCATTTTCTAGAATGGTTGTAAAACCTTAGTGTTTGCATATTGATGCATATACATTAGTTAAAGCATCTATTTGCTTATAATTGACCTAAACTTTGGAATTCTAGTAGTAAACTCTTACTACATATATATGCATGTTGGTGGATGTTCAATAATCATAACATCCTCTTTATTAAAAATCCAACAAGGCAACATGATATTTGATTCAATAACCTGAAATATATGGATGCTTAAAATTTGATTCTTTTCCAGGATGAAACAACATTAATTTGGTACTCCCGTGGAGAAGAAAGGAATCTGAAGTTATCTTCTGTTTCACGGATTATTCCTGGGCAGAGAACTGTGAGTTAGCACGTCTCTTTGGGGTGCATTATATTATTAGAGTTAATGTTACTTGTTTTGGCATATTAACTCCATTCAATTTTGAAAATTGAGAACAAATTTTCTGTTCTCCTTATGTCCGTGCAGCCTGTTTTTAAAAGATTTTTGCGCCCAGAGAAGGAATACTTGTCATTTTCACTTATCTATAATAACGGCGAAAGATCTCTTGATCTGGTCAGTCAAACAAGTATATTTTATATATCTACAATATTTCAAGTTGATTTCACATTTTTCATGGCAACTTTTTGCTTACTAATTGCATCTTTCCAACTTTATAGATCTGCAAGGATAAATTTGAATCGGAGGCTTGGCTTGCTGGCCTGAAAGCTTTAATTTCAACTGGGCAACCTCGTAGCAGACGTGTTCAAAGTGACATTTCCGACGTAAAATTTCATTCTACCCCTTTCCTTTATACGAATCTATTATTGTTTCCTTTGTTTGTCCTGCTGGGCAGGACATATTTATACCTCAATTTTTGTTACACCTTTTGCATTTAACAATATATTTTGTGTGTTTGCTTATATAAATATCAAGATTATTATGCACTATCACATGGTCCCGTACCGTCTCTTTTAGATATTCACGTCTGCAAACAATTGTGTTCACAAACTTTGTTTCTGCTTAATCAGCTTTTCTGTGCACTTATACTTTTACTATCTAATTTGGATATGCTAGTGAATAAATCATAGGTCACCAACTACTTGATAGATCAAATTTGGGGATGAAAGGTTTGTCATATTGTCAGTTCTGCACTTAAACAAATTATAATTTGGGCTACTCTCTCATTAAGTACCAATCATCTATTTTTTAAAACAAGAGAAAGAATCTGAATGCATGGAAAATATCCCTTATCTGTCTCTTTTAGCATTTGTCATCAGGGAGGAACTAAATAACTTTGCAGAAGTTACAAGATTCTATAATTTGCAAGGTTCACATCTACCTTTCGGATTGCATGAAATTTTCTGGCTTCGATCCAGCTCTATCGAAGATTGTGGGAACATGTTCCCTGTAATGTTGCTAAGAACCTTTACAGGGTGGCATATCCTTGGTACTGTAGAAATTAATAGTTACAGATTTCTTCTTACTAAAGCAAAAGTTTTGAACAGGATAAAAAACAGATATGTGAACATGCTGGAAGTGTCTTTTCTATAACTGTGCTAAGAGTCTTGTAATTTTAGTGAACTTCTAAGTAATGTTTTCTGAAGATTTATCTAAGCATATTTTTCTTTGGACTTCATATCTTTGTTTTACAATCTATTAACTCTCTTGAGTTATAGTTCCACTTATTTGTTTACAGTTATATGGTATTGGTGATTTCCCTCAAGACAGCCGTCCATTTGGTGCACCACTAGAATTTACTCCTGGTCCTTACAGCAGTAGAATTTCTGCTGATTTTAACTCTATTGATTATCCTTTGAATATTACAAGCTCAGATGTGGGGTCTGAATCTGCAAATATGCAAATAAGAACGAGCAGTACAGATGGTTTCCGAATTAGTGTCTCGAGTGCTCCTAGTTGTTCTAGTCAAGGTTCTGGACCAGATGACATAGAATCATTAGGAGATGTGTATGTCTGGGGAGAGATTTGGTCTGATGGAGGACCGATAGATGGAAATGGGTGTACAATTCCCATAAAAAATGAAGCACTGACTCCTAGACCCTTGGAGTCAAATGTAGTTCTTGATGTGCTTCAAATTTCTTGTGGCGTTCGGCATGTTGCTCTTGTTACAAGACAAGGTGAGGTTTTCACATGGGGAGAGGAATGTGGAGGCAGACTTGGTCATGGAATAGAGAAGGATTTCAGTCGTCCTCAACTCGTCGAATTTTTAGCAGTTACGAATGTTGAATTTGTTGCATGCGGCGAGTTTCATACATGTGCAGTCTCCACATCTGGTGATTTATATACCTGGGGTGACGGGATCCAAAATGCTGGACTTCTAGGGCATGGCAATAATGTTAGCCACTGGTTACCAAAAAGAGTTTCTGGACCTCTAGAAGGCCAGCAAGTTTTATCAATTGCATGTGGTGGCTGGCATTCAGCATTGGTAACTTCTACAGGAAGATTATTTACATTTGGTGATGGCTTGTTTGGAGCTTTAGGCCATGGTGATCGGGAAAGTGTTACATGTCCCAGGGAGGTTCAATCTTTGAACGGATTAAAGACTATTACTGTTGCCTGTGGGGTGTGGCATACGGCTGCTATTATAGACGTTACAAACCAGTCGGGTTCAAATGTTATGTCTGGGAAGTTATTCACCTGGGGTGATGGTGATAAATATCGTCTGGGACATGGGAACAAGGAAACTTATCTACTCCCAACCTGCGTGTCTGCTCTTATTGATTACAACGTCCACCAGCTAGCATGTGGACACCATATAACTGTTGCCTTAACGACATCTGGTCATGTCTTTACTATGGGTAGTAATACATATGGTCAGCTCGGAAATCCACAATCTGATGGAAGATCACCTGCCCTGGTTCAGGATAAATTGGTCGGGGAGTTTGTCGAACAAATAGCTTGTGGAGCACATCACGTTGCTGTCCTCACTTCAAGAAGTGAAGTGTTTACCTGGGGAAGAGGTGCCAACGGAAGATTGGGACATGGAGATTTGGATGATTGTGATGTTCCAAAATTGGTTGAAGCTCTAAAAGACAGGCATATAAAGAATATAGCATGTGGATCGAGCTACACAGCAAGTATTTGCATTCATAAGTGGGTTTCTGGTGCAGATCAATCAGTTTGCACTGGTTGCAGGCAAGCATTTGGTTTTACCCGAAAAAGACATCACTGTTATAACTGTGGATTAGTCCATTGTCATGCTTGCAGTTCAAAAAAGGCACTTCGTGCAGCACTGGCTCCTACTCCCGGAAAACCACATCGAGTGTGTGACCCTTGCTATTTGAAACTTAAAAAGGCTGCAGAGCCTGGAAAATTCGGGACTATTAATCGAAGAATGAGTTCCCCTCATCATCCAATAGATTATAGTAGCAGGGTAGACCGGGAAGACAGAAGGAGTTCCAGAATTTTGCTCTCTCCAAATATGGAACCTGTCAAGTACCTTGAAATTAAATCTGGGAAGCCTGGAAACAAATATGATTCTTATTCCATTGTGCGTGCTTCGCAAGTTCCATCACTTCTACAGCTAAAAGATATTGCTTTCCCAAGTTCATTTAGCGCCATTCAGTATGCATTAAATCCTGTTGCAACATCAGCACCACAGCATCTGATGCCTCAGCGACAATCTCAGTCCAACTCAAGACCTGCTTCACCATACTCAAGAAGACCAAGTCCTCCACACTCTGCTGCCCCAGTGCTTTCGAGGGGTGTCATTGATAGTTTAAAGAAGACCAACGATCTTTTGAACCAAGAAGTTTCCAAACTTCAAAACCAGGTAAGAATTTCCTTTTGTAAAGTTTTATAATGCAATTTAATTTATAGATAGACGAAGGAAGATTTTCTTTGCTAAAAACTACTCATTCTATTATTATGTTTTTAGGTTAAGAGTCTAAAGCAAAAAAGAGAGGTCCAAGACATGGAAATTCTGAAGTTGAAGAAGACTGCCCAAGAAGCTGCTTCATTGGCTGCAGAAAGATCTTCCAAATGTAAAATTGCAATGCAAGCCATCAAGACCATCACAGTACAAGTAATTCAATTGTTCCATATATGCTCATCCATTTTCGCAAATGTGACATATTTACACCAGAAAGGAAAAGAGGAACTACATTGTGAAACGTCCTTATTGAGCGTCTAAATGTAGTAACTTCATTTCTTAGGAAACCAATATGTGAAAATTACCTATCAAAATTTTCAAAGAACCTTTATAAACTGAAGCTGACTGTTGCTTGAACACATCATGGCTTGCAATAACATGCATTAATCTCTAACACGAGCACCTAATGACCAATTAAAATATTTTATCTTATTGTTCAACTTATGGATTTGTACATGTGTGCTTGTAACTTTTAGAACAGTCGTATAACTGAATCATACCACAAGGTCTAGGCGGAAAACTTCTTGACTTTCACTTATCTCAGTTTACTTTAATGTTTCCAACATCCACACTGCATGACTAAAGAAAATTGGCAAGACATAAGTTTGCTTGTCTTTTACTCCTGTAATGGACTTACATTGCACTAATAAACATATATCATTGTTTCTCTACTTTTCAGTTAAATGAAATTACGGATAAAATGCCTCCGGAGATTTGTGAGAGTGAATCATTTAAAGAGATGCATTCTCAAATCGAAGCTTTTCTTGACACCATTCAAACTCAAGCATCTGAAGATAGTTCGGCTATGCCACCAGAGTCGACATTGGAAGATCACAATGATGCTGCACAGATTCAGGACACGTCACAGAGTGTTGATGGAACTCAACAGGAAAGCAGTGGATCATCTGTTTCTGACACAAAAGGTGTAAATCATCCAAGTACGGAAGGTGTCTCTGGGATGCCTGAAGCTGCTAGAAGGGAGGGAAGAAAGGAAGTAATTGAACAATTTGAACCAGGTGTTTATGTTACACTCATTCTACTTGCAGATGGAACCAAGATATTCAAGAGGGTTAGGTTCAGGTACTTGACATGATATCTTTTTCCTATTTCCAGTTAGCAAATTTTAAACAGTAACAGATCTATGTTCATTCTGAAAGATAGGCACATATATGATGAGTTTCACTTATTAAGAGATTCCATTTCTAACTATAAACTCTTTGGAATAGTTGTAGTCATTCAATTATAGGCATGCCTAAGGATGAAGTGGATTATAGTCATTAGACAAAATACTTTCTGCTTGCTCCCTGCCACATGAAAAATGAATAATGTTGTTCAATATGTACTTTGTGCAACTATTCTCTCCTTGTACGAATAAAAACTAACATTCCAATCAAGAACATTTGTGCTTCAATAACACTACAGCATTTTTGCACTTGACGATTTTAATAGTTACCATTACTAATTCCTACATTTCTACAGCAAGCGAAGGTTTGCCGAGCAGCAGGCAGAAGAATGGTGGAGAGAAAACAAAGATAGGCTGCTTAGAAAGTACAGTCCACCGCCAAGAGTAAATAGTGTACAAGCAGATGTAACTGCAGCTGAACCACCGGCTGAGGAAAATAACTCAACTTCACAATCTTCATAGAACTGATTAATTTTGTTAGGTTTATTTACTTTTTTTGATGCAGGGAGGAATTACTTAGCTAGGTAGAATGTCTAGCCTGCATTTAGAGTTCACAACCTTGTAGAACCATCATATTTTCCTTTTCCTGCATATGATTGAATTTTTGTGGAAAAAGATTTAGAAGGGAATTAACTTTTATTTACGTTGAATCTTGTTGTAACTTGCTTTTCTGTCTTTTGGCATGTCCAGTATATAGAGGGGAGGGTGGTGGCTGATTCTACTCCGATAGGAGTTAAATATTTACCTTTCGGGAGATAAAGAAGAGAATACAGAGCTAATGTGTTTATTGCATTAGATTGTCATCATTCACATCGGATATTTGGTTAGAAAATTCAACGGATTTTAAATAAGTCACCAAACTGAAATAAAAAGTGGACACTATTGCCATTTAATATTGTTTAATAAAGTTAAATTATTAGTATGAAATGTCGTAACTTTACTAACCATGTTTTCAGTCGAATTATTTTAATATTAAAAACTTTAGAGCTTTTTTCAAATTTAAAAATATTTCAAAGTGAAATCACCGACCGTTAAATGCACTCCTGACTCACTTTTAATTCCAAGTTTAAAAGGGTAAAATGGTCAGACACTCCAAAAAACTCTTCTTCCACCATAAATAAATTATTCTCAAAGAAGAAAAAGAAAAAATATTCTCAAATCACGGTGCCAAAGTCTACTGTTCATCATCACCGTGACTGGTGCATTTTCGATAATCCACTATTTATCATCACCGTGGCTGATGCGGTTTTAGAGATCCTGTGTTTATCATCACCCATGTTTGATTTTGAAAATCAAATGTTCATCATCACCATGATTGATGCGTTTTCGAAAATCGAATTTTGGTTTTCATACCAACTATCATCTGTCATTACCAAAAATCACTAGGCTTAGTCCTAAAAATCTTCTCCAGAAACTAAAGTTGTAAACATGCTTTTCCTCGAATTTGGACAATGTTTGCATAGAATGTCCCTACATTTGACTATGTTTGGGTAAAACGTCCCTACTTTTGACAGTGTTTGTGTAAGACGTCCCAATGTTTCTTTTTTATTTTTTTTGCGAAAAACTTCCCCACGTTTGTCAACTTAGGAGCAGTCATTTAGGTTCGATTAAATGAAATCTCGAATTTCGAAACATTCAAATTATGAAGTGGGTAAGCAAGAAAATTAGATGGGAAAGCAGACCCACTTATTAGCATATAAGGGTTTATAATTTGATGTGTTGCAATTTGAGGGCACATCATAGAAACAACCTATTCAAATATTTTTCAATTTGAGACCACAGCAACTCCAATGCACTCACCAAAATACCATTTCACGCAAAAAAAAATGGTGCAGAGTCTCTCCAATCTAACGCACCATTTTGGTACAAAACGGTTAAATATAGTTGTCATTCTCTTTCAGTTTGCCAAAAAAAAAAAAATGGTTATGGGTATTTGTGTCCACTTTTGTAATATAATAAACTATTATTGTTGTTGTCATTGTTGTTGTTATTATTATTATTATTTTTATTTGTGGTGTTGCTATTAATAGTACTAAATTTTTTTAATGTATTAATGAATTTAATATTTTCATTAATTTAACGTAATTATTTATTTAGTTGTAAAATAAATAAACTAATAAATTTTCAAATAAATAAATTGATAAACATAAAAAAATGAAGAAAATGATTAAATACTGTTCATTTGGTAAAAGTTTTGATGTAATGATACGATTTTCAGTTTGGTGCAAGATTGATGCAAAATGGTGCAAAACTTACATCAAAATTTGATGCAAAATTGGAGATCGCCGAAGTCCCTGACCTTCATTTTCATGTGAAGACATTGTCTCAAGGTGACTTCCTATTTTCTCTTTTCTTTTTTTCACTTTTATGCAAAGAGTTATACTTTTATGCAGTGTCAAAAGTATTCTATTTGCATATTATTTCATTTGTATACCTTTATTGAATTTTTTTTTTGTTATTCTTGTTTCATTTTTAGTCCATACCCTTTTCATGTTGAATATTGTTCAAAATCAAATAATTAAGTGGGCTAATTACTGGGCCTTCAATGGGAACAACGAAATGGACAAAATGAAAATTGGGAATTATTTGCCCATGCGTACGCATGGCTCGTATTGGCCGGAACAGAAGCAAAAATGCTTCTACAATTTGTAAGCATGGTTTATACTATGCGTAAGCATAGGATTAAAAACAAGCATTTCGCTAGTTTTTCAACTTGAAACTTAGTGTCCTTTTGGATGAAAAATTATCTATTTTCATCATGTTTTAGCACCATTTCCTGTAGTATTGATTGAGATATATAAATGTGTGGTTAATGATCAATACAAAATACATTAAAACCACTTGAGATCAAATTTCATTCATATTCAAAATTCTATTTTTGTGTTCTTGAGTTTTGAATTTATTCCTTCTCAAGGCTTGATAAATCTTGAAAACAAATTGTCAAGAGTCCCTTTAAGCGTCAAATTCAATCCAAAGGGGAGCAAATAGTTGACCTAGTGATTGACTTCTCATTTTGATTATCACAAGTAAATTGCGTTTGTTTTTAACAAATGGAATTTGAGTATTGATAGTGATCAACTACAAATGAAGACACGAGAATTGAGATAAAAAATCATGCATAGTGATAAACGATTTTGGTACTTGACGATCAACATTTAAGCAAATTGGTGATTGACGAACATAAAGAAGGAAATGAAGCCTTCATGTCAAAAATCACATTGGAGAAAAAATTGATCATCAAATTCAATTGTAAAAGTAAAAGACTTTAATATTTCATATCGACTATAGCTCAAAAGGATTTTTTTTTATGCACAAGAACTTTCTCACATTACAAAACAATACTTACACAAAAATTATTTTTTAAAAAATAAGTATTTTGATTTTATGACTAAATATTTACAAACATACTTATCGAAACAAAATTAATAAGAAAATCCTTCAAGTACCTACATAGAGAAAATTCATCACGAAGAAAAAAGTCCGAAGAGCAAAGTTCTGCCCATCCGGAGGTCCGAATGGATCTCCAACGGTCACTTTACCATTTTTCAAACAGTTATTTTACTCATTCGAACCCTAGTCAGACATCAAGATCCTACGTCTAGATCGACAGATTTTTGACAGTTTGAGAGCTATAAATACCACATCTTCTTGCACATTTGCAACTACTTTTCTTGAGCATTTAAGTGAGCTATTTATTAATCCTTTCTACCTTATTCTTCAATATTTAGAAGATCAAATTATTTAATTCTTGAAAAAAAGTTTGAGTGATCAAAACTTGCAAAAATCTCTTATCTCAATCAACATTTTTCAATCAATACTTGACCTATACTCTTTGCAATTTATTGAAGTGTTGAGCCTACTATTCTCTTGATACTTAATTGTGTTCATATCATTTATTAAGAAGAAGTTTTTCATTTGTAATATTTCATTTTCTTGTTTTTGAATGAGGGTTGTGTTGGGTCCCCAAAAACTCAACGTTGTAAAAAACATTGGTGCTTCTTGGTTGTAAATCATCAAAAGCGTTGTAAGGGTTGGATTGCGCCATAAGTCAATCAACTATAGGGAAAAAGGTTTTTCTCATGATGAAGAGCTTGGTAATAGGGGACGTAGATCGTTGTTTAGATCGAACCTTCATAATTATATCTTTTGCGCCTTCTATTCCCTTCTGCTTATTATTTTCTTGTGTTATCTTGCTTGCATATTATTTCACTTACTAATTGCTTAAATTTACCTTTATTTTTCGAAAAAGGTTTAGATAACCAATCCAACCCCCTCTTAGTTAGTCTTTTTTAGCCTTCACAAATATCATTTGTGGACAATAATTGCATGTTTAAGCCCTTTTTCTTTGAAGTTCTTGATTCTTTTAATTTTTTTTTTATTCTTTCCTCTTATTTGGAATTATAATTCCAACAATTTCAAACGATATTTGCAATAGAGAATGAAACTACAATGGCGATAATAAAGTTGATGAATCAAGACCTCGTCCGTTTAGACTGTTTTGATGGGATAAATTTTATAAGGTGGCCAGACAAGTTGAAGTTTCTCCGAACGACGTTGTAGATCTTCTACATTCTTGATTCGGTGTTGGTATCACTACGAAAACCAACAAATAGAGATATTGATGTTGTAAGAGTCAAAAGACAAAAGCGTCAAGAAAGAGAATTGATTTGCTATGGTCACATACTCAATTCATTATTGGATTGGTTGTATGATATCTATACCAACACATCTTCCACAAAATACATTTGGGATGTGTTGGAAAGCAAATATAAAGTCGAAGAAGAAGGTATTTCTCATATCAAGGTATTTTGATTTTAAATTCCTTGAAAATATTGCTCTTTTTTCCCAAGTACATTAATTGCAACTTCTTGTCAACAAGTTGAAAGCAATCAAAATTGAAATTTCGGAGTCTTTCCAAGTGGAAGAATCATTGCAAAACTCTCGGGAACTTGGAAAGGATGTCGGAAGAAATTCATACATAGTTCTGAAGATTGCTCTTTGGAATAAGTGCAGAAACATCTTCAAATTAAGGGAGAGTCAAGAGCAAGAGATAAAAATAACAATTATTATGAAGGCACTTCAAAGACCAGTGTTGTGGAAAAGATTGAACCTTCAAACAATCCAACAAGATAAAGCTTTCAAAAATCTTGACAAGTTCAAGAAGAAGTCCAAAGGAGGTTGTTTTGTACGTGAAAATCTCCGGACATTATGCAAAAGAATATCGAACCCGAAAACAAAATAATTTCAAAGGAAAAGAAAACCCATCAAAGAAGATAACATTGTGGCTACCGTGAGTGAGAACAATGTTATCAATGGAAAAGTTCCCGACTGGTAGTATGATGATATATGTGCAATTGCACATATGTCATATGATAAATCTTTATTAAAGACTTATCATGAAAAAGATGGAGATCAAGAGAATTAAATGGGATAATGAAGGTCGCTCCAAAGGAATTGAAAAAAGAAACGTAGATATTATCTTCACTTCTGGCAAGACCGTTACCTTAACAAATGTACTACACGTTCCTGATATGGATAGAAACTTAGTAAGTAGTAATCTCTTAAGAAAATTGGGCATAATGAGTCCGGTAAACTTGTACTATTCTAAACGAAAAATTTGTTGGAAAAAATGATATTCTAATG